GGAGCTGAGGACATATGCAAGCTGCCTTAGCCCATGCCCTTCTGTCACTTACTCCTACTGGACCTGTGGCTCCTCCTTGGCTCTTTCCTGTGTCTGCTAAGCATCCCATGTGATCTTATGGAGGTGGAGGAAGCAGACCAAACTTGACTCATAGATAAGTTAGGTTGGTATTTAGGAGCATGGTGTAATGGTGGCTGCTTGCAGCTCAGTTGAGTAGGCACAGTAAGGGCAAATCCTCCAACTGGCCATAGCTTTCAGTGGTACACTAATGTGAATGGTCTACCTTGTGTGGGAAGAGGAACAGCTCAAGTTTAATTGTTCCTGGACTTGTAGACACTTGTAAATTCATTGTCTATTAGATGTCTAAAATGTTCAAAGTAATAAAAAGAATGTGGGGTATAGGAATGTGAGTAGACAATGATAGCACTCATTTGTGAGAGAATCAATGAACAAGGGCACTGAATGACCAGATTGATCAAATGAACCTAGTACCAACCTTATCTATAATGACAACTAACCTGTAGTATTGAAATCCTGGTAGATAAAAGTCCCTGGAATACAAAATCATGAAAATCACAATGTTGGAAGGTTTAAATCTCAAATGTTGAAATTCTGAAAGTCCACATCTCATCTCCCCAACTAGAATTTTCAGGTGGTTCAAAAGCTGTTTGAAAGAGATTGACACTGAGTTTTGAAGAACAGATTAGCCACAATACTTTGCTGAAAACTTCAGTTTCAGAGAGCTAATATGCAAATTTAAAAAGGACTCAAAAAAGTGGATATCAAGGTAACAATCCAATTAAAAATGAGGTACAGGTCTACACAGAGAATTCTCAATAAAGAAAACTCAAATGGCTGAGAAACACTTAAAGAAATGTTCAACATCATTAGCAATCAGAGAAGTGGAAACCAAAACTACTTTGAGATTCCATCTTTCATCTGTCAGAATGGCTAAGATAAAAAACACAGTGACAGCTCATGCTGGTGAGGATGCGGAGCAAGAAGAACACTTTTTCATTGCTGGTGGGAGTGGAACTTGTATAGCCACTATGGAAACCAGTGTGGCATTTCCTTAAAAAATGGGAACTGATCTACTTCAAGATTCAGCTGTACCACTCTTGGGCATATACCCAAAGGATGATTTATCCACCACAAAGTGACTTTGTTCAACCATGTTCATCACTGCTCTTTTTATAATATTCTGAAATAGGAAACAGCTTAAATGTCCCTCAACAGAGGAATGGATAAAGAAAATGTGGTGCATTTACACAATGGAAAATCACTCAGCCATTAAAACAACGACACCATGAAATCTGCAGGCAAATGATGTGGTTCGAAAAAAATCATCCTGAGTTGCGGTCTCTCAGACCCAGAAAAACAAATATGGTATATATTTGCTTATATGCGAAGATTAGCTCTTAAGTCTATGATAACAAAGCTATAATCTAATCCCTAGAACCATAGAAGGTAGGTATAGAGTAAGGGACTAGAGGTTACTGAAATATCTTGCTTGGGAAGGGAAATAGAATGGGATGGTGGGGGCTGTAACAGGAGGGCTGTAACAGTAGGGAGGAGGACGGGGTTGAGGGAGAGGATTTGGGGACAAACAGCTAAAGTTTAAGGGCATTTGAGAGGCAGTATGGAAACCTGATATAGGAAAAATGTCTTAAAATATATGCATATATGATGGCGACTTAATTAATTAACCAAATAATGGGGAAGACAGAGTCCAAACTGGCTATCTCTTGTCACCAAATGAAGCTTACAGTGCTGGGATTGGGTTACATTTAGTTGAGTTGTTGGCCAAAGGGATAGAGAGAGATAAATGGACAGAGAGGTTGAGAAAGGTCAAATTCTACAGATTTATTTTAGTTTTCATACAATTGAGAAGATTTTATACTAATCTATCCTTAAATCTCTTTCTTTAATTCTGACACTTATTCAAAACTGACTTACTTCTTCTGAGTTAGGATTTTTTTCATTTCTTCTCTTAAATGCTTTTAAATTCCAGTTAAAGTAGGCTGCCCACTCATTACTCTTTGTTTTATTCTGAGGACTTCTAGGCTTGCACACAAAAATATCAATTTTGGAACATCAAATATTCCCCATTGAGGAACATGTAAGACTATTATCTTTGGTTACAGCTCTCAATTTTTTATATACTTGTAAGATGAAAATCCATAATCATCACATACACTGCAGATTGGAGTTCCTGATGGTGGGTATGTAAACACTTCTTCCTTTTTCAAATATGTGTCTCCCATTTCTTCCTAGAAAACTGCGAGCTTTTCTATGCCAGCTAGGGAATGTTCATTGTGGATCAGGCTTATGGGATTTGCTTTTGGGATTTACTCTCTCAGCTGTCATCCCGAGACCATTTCCTCCTATAGTGTCGTTGGTATCATACATGTTTTCCAGGGACATGAGCATGATCAGACACTTCTGTGTTCTGGGACAAGACGGTGAAGTTCTTTCCAGCCTGAGAGCAGGGTGTGTTTTGTTGGATCCCTGCTGCCACTGCCCTGTCGGATTGGTGCCTTTTATTTTCGGGATGTTTCTCATCAGATGCTTTAGAAAATTCCTAAGCCAAAATGAGCCTGGTGGCAAGAAGAAGCCATGGGTCAGGAATGCAGAAATATAGATATTTGAAGAGTGTCAGGAGACAAAGGGCAATGAGCAAATCAAACATTCTGAACAAACAGAAACCTGAATGTCTTCAAAGTTCCAAGAATCAATGAAACTGAAAACAAACAGAAAACTCAGATACCAAAATGCTTCTGAAGCACACAGAGCAGCTGCTTTAAAACAATCACTTTGAAAGCAAAGTAAGCATCCAAATGAACAGGATCCTGCAAAAATCAGAGCTCAACATACAACATTGGACTAACGACCAAATCTAAAGAAAGAACTCACAAACTTCTAAACAAGGAGGCAAGGCTAGATAGCTTGCTGCAGGGGAGTCCTTGTAATGGTGTCCGGTGCCAATGCAATTGAGTCCTTTGGTGAACAGTGGGCCATTCTTTTGAGGCCTGATATTGGTCATCAGGAAAGACACAGCTCTTTATTCTTAACCCTCAAAGGAAAAAGAGACAGATTATTCTAGAGCCAAATATGAGTGATAGTGGCCCAGGAAAAGATTCAAATTTGTCAAAATAGCAAGTCCCAATGTGGTTCCAGTTCCATGAAATCTTAACATTAACAGAACAAAAATAATCATAAATGAAGACATTTTTCAAGTGCATTGGTGGATGCATCAAATAGATGGGCTCCAGAAAAATGGGGGAATCTTCGCCTACATAGGCCTCAGATACTGTTTGATGACATTCTTGGCCTGTTGATTCCTAGAAGTTAGGGTGTGTGTTTGACATCCAAAGGATTTACCTAGTAGTCACAAAATTGTTAGGTCTCATATAGAGGAAGGAAATAATTGTCTATTGAAGGGGTTAAAGGTGTTGCAAGGTAATTTGTTTCTGACATGCAACATCCTAATCTCCCTACACCACTGAAATTATAATCAGTTGATCAGCTTTTGTAGTTTAGTAATCTTTCTAAGAGTTCTTATTCCCAAAGACAAGCTCTTGGAAGACAAAGTTGGCACCATGGCTTCATCTATTCCCTTCCCCTAGGTTGAGGTTCCTTGTGATATTCCAATACTTTGGAGATCATAGTTTTAATAGTCTGATGGCCAAAGGGAGGGCCACATGCATTTCTGTTTAGAATGTCTTCACTCTTACTAGGAAAGTTATAAATAGTAATTAACTTTATTGTTAAAATACAGCCATCTGTGGGATTAGGTGGTGGAGGGAAGGATGGGGAGAGAGAGAGAGAGAGAGAGAGAGAGAGAGAGAGAGAGAGAGAGAGAGAGAGAAGAGATAACTGGAATTGAGAGACTTTGGGGCTAGTGATGTGGAAACCTAGTGAGTAGAAACTTCCTGGAACCTATGAGGTGACCATATAGCAAGGACCTCTAGTGATGCAGGATTTGGAGCCTGAACTGACCATCTTCTGTAATATGGCAAGGCTTCCAGTGATGGGAATGGAAGATCATCCCAGCCTCACAACCTTCGACCTACAAGCTGTCCTGTCTGTAAGATATCCTGGGGTTATGGTGGCTCAGAGTTTGTGGGAGTGGCCAACCAATGACTAGTCTAACTTGAGACCCATACCAGGATAGTGAGCACTTGTCTGACACTGATTGGATGGCCAGGAACTGGAAGCTGGACAGCCCAGAGACCTAGGGAAAAACCAAACACAACTGGCCAAAAAAAAAAAAAAGTCAGCAAAATGATTTTTGATGATATTCATAGACTGGTGCCTAGGTTAGTCATCATCAGAGAGGCTTCTTCCAGCTACTGATGTGAGCAGATGCATAGACCTTCAGCCAAACATTAGGTGGAGCTTGGGGAAACCAGAGGAAGATGGGGAGAAAGTATTGTATGAGAAGAGGAGTCAAAGACACCAAGAGAACAAGACCTACAGAACCAACTAAGCAGGGCTCTTACAGGCTTATAGAGACTGGAGCATGATTCTTTTACCTGCTCTTGAGACCCCTTTCCTCCTACTGGGTTGCCCTGTCCAGCTTTAATATGAGGGGTTGTGCCTAGTCTTATTGCATCTTGTTATGACAGCCGTGGGAGGCCTGCTCTTTTCTGAAGGGAAACAGAGGGGCAATGGATCTAGAGGAGAGGGGAGGTGGTTGTGGGAACTAGGAGGAGTCGAGGGAGGGGAGGCTGTGGTCAGAATGTATTGTATGAGAGACAAATGAATAAAAAGAAAACAGAAAAAAAAGTCATCTGTACTACACTTTAAAGAAGGAAGAGTTGTGTTGAAATGGCAAATACAACGGAAAGTGTTAGGAAATGGGCAGTTTTGTTTATACAGATCAAAGTGAACTAAAGATAGAAATCCTGTCCACAGTCCATACACTGTGTGCTTTTTGGAGCTGAATTTATAGACCTTTGGTGTGTATGCTTTCCAGTGTATTTGTTCATAGCGAGTCAATGGCTCTCTTTGTCATCCTGGTGATTTGCCTGTCTTGTTTGATTTTTCTTTCCCTGTGGAATCAGCACTATGGCAAAGGGAAGCTCCCACCTGGACCCTCTCCTCTTCCAATTGTTGGAAATGCTTTGCAAGTGGATATTAAAAATATCAGCAAATCTCTGAGCCTGGTAAGTATGATTAGCTTCCTTTCAGTGGTTTTCAATGAGTGAATTATGCATCCTCAGTACAAAGAAAATGTGGTCCTAGACTCCATGTAGATGTTACCAGGGACCAAGAAGAAAACCCTGACACTTGGGGTTCCAACTGACTAGTTTTGACCACCTGTCTTAACAGAAGTGTAGGTACAGAAGTTAATAGTACAGCAAGGAAAGGTATTTAAATATCACCGTGGCCACTCTGACAGAGAGAGATCCATAAGATTTCTTTGTGTTGACAGTCTTGAGGTTTTTGACAGGTGAAAATGCAAAGGCAAGGCTTGAGGAACTTGCACAGCACAGTCTTATTTATCAGTGTTGAGGAATTTTCCAGTTCTTGAGGGTAGAGGACAATGCTCATTTGGTACCAAGGAAACTAATTTCCTTTTGCGTTCAGGAAATTGTTAAACTGGTCAGAGGCAACCTCCTGGGATTCTGGATGGGGTATTATGGTTCCCATGGTATTACTGCCCTTTTCTGGGGTATCTCCTTCACAGAGTGAGCTGCCTGTAGAGCTCTGCTGTTCCTGGTGGTTTAGAATAATGATGGATGGCTTCCAGGGCACTGTAGAGTCTCTGTAACAGAACCTGTGAGCTTGAAAAGACTTCAATCATGTCAGTGGCTTTAACATTGAAGCAGGAGGATTAAACACTTCGTATAAACGCTGGAGTTTTTACCTAGCCTACAGGCAAAGTCCAACAGGAACTGAACCACAGCTTAAGGTTAAGGAGACAGGTATGAACTGAAGGCAGAGATGTTAAGATTGATCTCAGTTTCAGTTACTCACTAGGCACCTGAAGGCCCAAGTGAATAGTGAATGTGTGTATGATATGTATGCATGTATATGTGTGCATATGCGTGTTTGAGTGTGGGCACACATGTACCACAGTGATCATGGACAGTCAGAGGACAATCTTGCCACTATATTTGAGACAGTGCCTTTGTCAGTCACTGCTGTGTATCTCAGGCTAGCTGGCTGTGAGCTTCTGAGGATTCTCCTGTCTGTCTCCTTTCTTGTTGTGGGCGTGATTGGATTGCATGTGTGTGTGACTGTGCCTGCCTTTATGTGAACATAGCAAGTGTTATACATGGAACTACCTCCCCAGTCAAAGAATGAAAACAAAATTTTTAATAGAAACCCAAGCCAGCTCCCAAGTCTGTGCTCTACTGAGAGCTAGAAGGAAATGGGACCCAGGAGATGATTTGTGACACTATGAGGAAGCAGAACCGTGTTCATGTCCTGTCCTGGGTCCTGTTTTAGTAGAGCAATTATTTTCTGATGAATTGCATGGAAGATGGAACTGTGTTCAGTTATAAAACTTATCGTATAAGTTCTAAAATCTACATTTTCCTATAGTATACATTGATTTGAAATGAAGGACATAACTAAGGATCCAGGAATTCGGAGAGTTCTTACCACATTTTCCGGACAATGAATCAAAGACTGCTCTACCACTGATCCACATGGCAGCCATTCCCTGACATCTGAAGGAATGACCAGAAAGCTACCTTTTCCCTGAGACAGCCCGTCACCAGAGCACTCACTGCCCCCACAGCTTCTTCATCCTGGGCAGGGAGTTCTGAGTTAACTCATAACTCGGGGCAAGTTTTAAAATCTCCTTGAGATTTAATTTCTATTTCTTGAATATGTAATGTTTCCACACAGATTAGTTGACTGTGTTTACATTCAACAGTGATGAATGGGTACTTGGCTTCAGGCACTATGCTCTGTGCATGCAACTGATTTTAAGGGTAATTGGCATGTATAAGCCTTATAGAAGGTACATTTTGGAGAGCAGGCATATCTATCCTGCTGTGTCCCCAGTGCTGTTGAAATTCAGAGACCTCAGCATAAAGGATGACATGGAGAATGGATGACAGGAGATGATTATAAGTGTCCAAGAGGGGTGACTTTACTCAGGAAGAGAAACACATTGTTTATTGTAAGAGCAGGCTAGAAGAGAAATCTAATGCAAATGTAGATTTGACAGGAAAATGTAAAAGTAAAATTTGAGCAAATACGTATCACAGTCTCCATTGCATAGAGGAAGAGTAGTAACAGTAATGTTGTCAAGAGCATAATGATAACGGCTATTTAACTGTCATTTCTTATTAAACTACTTGGTCTAAAATCAATGCGTGTGTGAATATTAAAATGTCTCTTCAGTATGAATGAACATATTTCCCTTACTGATCATCCCTGCTCTATTTTCAGCTAGCAAAAGAATATGGCCCTGTGTTCACTGTGTATCTGGGCATGAAGCCCACGGTGGTGCTGCATGGATACGAAGTATTGAAGGAAGCTCTGGTTGACCGGGGAGATGAGTTTTCTGGCAAAATGCAATCATCATTACTCAGTAAAGTCAGCCAAGGGTTAGGTATGGCTCTCTGTTGGGGCACATCCAGGTCTATAAAAGTGGGAATGAAGTTATATAGGCAAGGAAACTGAGAGACTAGAAGTATTTGTAAATTTATGAATTATTTTATAAAAATTGAAAACAATTTAAATATAGCATATGAAAAGCATTTCCTTATGTCATATTTGTGTAACCTTTGCTCCTATTTGTCATCTGCCCACTGCACTCAGCCACTCCTGTCTGTGTTACTGATTCCCTTCTTCTCCCCAATAGATCTATCTCTGCTTTCACATATTTTCCTCTCTTTTTATTCCCTACTCTTAGATCTCTTTTTCCTCTCTCGTGGTCTTTCTTCTTTCAACACACACACACACACACACACACACACACACACACACACACACCCTCTAGATTCTCTATAACAGAAAATTGCTGCATTTGTTTTTAGGAGTCTGGGTTCCTTGAAACAAATAATTTATAGTTTCATCCATTTCCTTGTGTCTTAGTAATTGGTTTCTATTGCTGCACCATGACCCAAAGCAAGTTTGGGAGGAAAGGGTTTATTTGGCTTACCCTTCCATTTTGCTATTTATTATTGAAGGAAGTCAGGATAGAAACTCAAACAGAGCAGGATCCTAGAGGCAGGAGCTGATGTAGAAGCCATAGGGAGTTGCTGCTTACTGATGGGTTTCTCATGGCTTGCTCAGCTCACCTTCTTATAGAACCCAGAACCACCAGTCCAGGAATGGTACCACCCATCCTGGGCTGGGTCCTCCCCCACTGATGACTAATTGAAAAAATGCCTTACAGCTGGACCTCATGGAGGCATTTCCTCAACTGAGGCTCCTTTTTCTCTGATGACTCTAGTTTGTGTCAAGTTGACACACAAAACCACCCAGCACACCCTGTAAATGTGATTCCATTTTCTTTATGTTTGGGTAAATTTTGATTAACACGCATCAGTAGATTTTAGTGGCATTTGGTGTGACATTTCAGTAAACAGATAAAACGCTTACTGAAGAATTTGGCTCTTTTTTTCTCAAATTTCCCTGCCCTCTTCTGACTTCTAGTGTTCATTAATGAAATGTGTTATTTATAAGAGATCATTAACCCATTTTCAAATTGATTAACTTTACACACAATGTCTCCATGAAGCATTATGTTTGAACTTGTGACTACAGCATACTCATTTTCTATTACAGCCAGAAACATGACGATAAAGATACTGAGACAAAGTGACAAAACATCTTCGTCACCAAATATTCTGTCTCATGGCCTGAGGATGGATCTAGATGACTTTATAAGTGTGTATAGTGTGGGGATCAGTACAGATTCATGTATTTCCAGACCTGTATCCGGTCTTTTATCTTTAAAAATTGTAAGGAATATTTGTATATAGTGGGATGGAAAAAAATGCACAGCCATGCTCTCTCTACAGGAGCCACAGGCACTCAGTGTTTGTGTACTCCACTGATATCACAAACTTTTTTCTTTTAAATTATTTTAAGATCATAATAATATAATTGCATCATTACTCCCTTCCCATTACTCCCTATACACCTTCCCATATACCCCTCCTTCCTGTTTTTTCAAATTCACGGCCTCTTTTTTCGGTAATTGTTATTGTATGAGTATATATAAAACCTGCTAAGTTTGTATATTGTTACTTATATTTTCAGGGCTAACCATTTGGTATTGAATAACTAAATAACATTCAGAGTCTCAATGGAATCATCTACAAAACATCCCTACACCTAAGGCTTAGGAAACATTGTGGAGAGGAGGTGGAAAGATTGTAAGAGATACAGGATCAGGGAGTTTGCTGTGAGAATGTGTCTCCTAATAGTGCTAGAAGCTCTATATCCATAAGTCTCACCAATATGACTTCCCAAACATGAGGTGAAAAAGGATGGCACCAATAGACATGCCAAAGTGGATGGGGAAAAGTCTGAAAGGCCTCAACACCACACACAGAACTACAGGCAACTGAGGAATGTTGAGAGCAGAAGAAATAATTTTCCTCAGAACACTATTTCCACTAATTGGAATTGATTTTAAAACTTCAGAAAAAGTTCAGAAGTTTCTCAGGTCACAATGAGATTACATCCCTGTAACTTGTCTAAGCTAAAACCAGTCTAAGTTGAAAATGTACTTACCATAGTTAACCTAACAGACACCAGGGCCTCACATGGCACATTGCCGAGTATGGATTATTGTCTTCCATGGTTGCATGGCTGATTAGGAGGTCTGGCTTGCTGCCCAAGGTTAGGAGGGCATATTATAATACATGTCAATAACCTAAGGAAAGAGGAACATTCAATATCCATATTATGGTTTGATCATGTAGCTATTTTCTACTAATTCATAGCAGAGAAGCCAGAAGTTGAAACACTGATAGTTGGAAACCAACTGTATATTAGTTTTTGATTTTGAGTCTGGTAGCAAGCTGTCCAGTCTTCTGATGGAGCACTGAGTGCTGGCAAAAGTGACAAGGGGTCTAAAGGTTGTCTAAAGCTTCCTTGACAAGTTGATTTTTTTATGGGCTTATCTTTTACTTCAATCATGTTTTGAGTTTAGAGAATTTATGTTGAACTTTCTAGATGTACAGATCACACAATACCTGCAAGAGTTTAAGCAAGCACAAGAGAGTCAGTATTATTACCTGTGATGAATACTCTCAACTAGAATTTATGATCTTTTTTTTTGTCCCAACAGGCATCATTTTCAGCAATGGAGAAATATGGAAGCAAACGAGGCGTTTCTCCCTCATGGTCTTAAGGTCTATGGGGATGGGAAAGAAAACTATCGAAGACCGAATTCAGGAGGAAGTCCTTCATCTATTGGAAGCACTGAGAAAAACCAATGGTGTATATCTTTTTCTATAATTAATAGATAAGCAAGATGAACTGTCATTATAAATAGGTTTTTTATAAAAGTCATGGAGACAGAAGTATAATTGAAGGTTACTCTGATCACAGAGGAACAGTAAGAAATGATGTAGTTATGATGCCAGCCTTCCCAGGACCCAGGCTGAGTAGCTTTTGTATAATTAACTTCAGTATTATCCATGGTTTTTGTTTTCATGTAATTATGGAAGGAGAGAAAGCCAGAGAAAACAGGAAATGCTTTTTAAATTAAACATGAAAGTAGCACAGAAAATTCACCTTACATCGGCAGGTTCTATCTAGCAACAGGACCGCCCTTACCTGGACAAGAAGGGTGAAAAAGTGACTATCTATGCTCACTGGAAGGAAAATAAACAAGAAAGTTGTTCAGTAACTTTTTGAGAAACATTACAGGTGACCAAATTGTCCAATGTGTCAGGTACAATCATTCACATGGGAAAGTGTGAAATGACAGAGCTGTCTCAGGACAAATCTCAGTGCATGATTATGTGCAAATGTAGGTGTGGGGCATAGGGGAGGAGAAAGAGTGGGCAGGAGAGCAGGTAGGAGGGGATGAGGTCGGGGTCACAAGATAAACACAGCTTTAGATCTTCAGTATCTAAATGTTTTTAAGAGCACCTTTAATGCTCGGAGGTGGTGGAGCATGCCTTTAATCCCAGCACTGTGGAGGCAAAGGCAGGCAGATCTCTGTGAGTTTGAGGTCAGTGTGGTCTACAAAACGAGTTCCAGCACAGCCAGGGCTACACAGAGAAACCCTGTCTCAAAAAAAAAAAAAAATCATTAACATAATGTTACTTTATTTTCTGTGGTAAATTGTGTTTTAAACTAATATTCTACAATTTTAAAATGCATATTTAGCAGTTTTTGGTAGTGCATAAAATGCAATTATTATAGACAGCATTTTTATAACCTGGTTTATCTGGGGATAAATTTGTGGGAATGAAGTGAGTATGTCAATGAAGGTTATTTGGATGATATGTAGTACCATGTTATGCACCAGACATGTGCAGAAATGGACAAGAACATACTGCATGTATCATGTATATTATTATTTTGAGTTCATTTTCAAATGTAATGTGTTGAGTATCCTCATGTGGTTTTCAGAATGTTAGTGTAATATAGTATCGTGCTGATTTAGATGCAGTATAGTTCATCAATCACTCTACTTCTGACTGATGGATTTATCTCAGCCTTTGATGTTAGTAATGTAAAAATTTTCAGTGCCTGAAAGTCATTGCAGATCTTTGAGGTCTCTCCCAACTTCTTAGAATTATATGTTTTTTTTGGCTAACTGAGGTGCCTATTTAGCATATCAAAGCAGACCTGGCTGCCAGGTTCTCCCAGCATCCTTTAGTCCCTACCTGTTGCATAGGATGGCTGGCATATTCTGCCCCCTACCCTAAATTTTTCCAGCCCAGGGGCTGGGCTGCCCTCACTCTAGTGACCCTCCCTATATAATTCAGCCATTTTGATCACCTGGTCCCTGTTTTGTCCATCCTTTACTCTCCTGTCTCTCCCCTTTCCTGTCCTTCTCTCCTCACACGGTCTATCTCAGGCTCATGTCCACTCTGAACTTCTGCTTCTTGCTATGTGCTCCCTTTTATCTACAATAAACCTTCTACACTATAGCTAGGAGCAGTCGTGTTCTCCTTCTTCTTCTTCTTCTTCTTCTTCTTCTTCTTCTTCTTCTTCTTCTTCTTCTTCTTCTTCTTCTTCTTCTTCTTCTTCTTCTTCTTCTCTTCTCCTTCTCCTCCTCCTCCTCCTCCTCCTCCTCCTCCTCCTCCTCCTCCTCCTCCTCCTCCTTCTTCTTCTTATTTCTTTTTTCACTTGTCTGGTGTTGAAATCCTAGAACTGTCATTCCCTTTCAACGAACTCAGCCTCTCTGAACCAAGCTGCTGATCTGACTCTCCTAAGGTATGTACAGATCCTGTTTCTGCTGGCTCCTGCTATCCATCAAATCTGACCCCCCCAGTTCTAGAGTCCACCTTCTCAGTTACCTCTCCCCTCCTAGAGCTCTAACCATTCCTCTCCTTGTCTATGCCACACATGTCATCTCTCCAGCTCCTAGAGCCTTCTACACCTCCCAAGGCACGCACCTGCCTGGGAACTCATCTCGAATCTCTTGTCTCTGGTCTGCTACATCTTTCTGGGTATCTCTGCTAAGGACACTTACTGTCTCCCTTTTGCCCTGCTCTTTCATCTCTCTCTATCATATAAGTGTCATGCTGAGCTGCCTGCTTTGTCTACTGTTATTACAAAAGCCACACCAGTGTGCTAGGAAGCTGCTCTCACCCTACTTGGACCCTGGTCATGTGGAAAAGGATGCCTCTCCTCTGTGATTCGGGACATTTTCCTCTCTGGCAAATTTTCCATTCTGCATAGGGGGTGCCCCAATGGAAATTTTTGCACAAGGACAGACACCTTATTCACCTCAGCTATTTTATCTCACCTTCCCCCAGGCATCTGCAGTCCCACTATTCTACCTCTGGGCTCCCACCTGAAGTCCCACAGCATCTGCTTTCAGCTCTCTCCTGAAGTGTCCTCTCTCGCTGCCTCCCCTGTCTCTTCCTTAAGCCCTCCCAGGCCTCTCCTCCCTTGGGCATATCTACTCCTGCATCTTCTTTAAGCCTAAGCTCATCTGGGCTACAGGTCACTCTAGAAATTCCCTCTAGTGAAATTTCATTTTTTTTTTAAAAAAAATCTTCTCTCTTTCCTTCTAGGACTACACACAGCTTGGCCTCAGTACAAATCAATGGCCAAAGATTAGCATGCTCAATTTTCAATTTCTCTCATATGGTAACAATTTCTGCCACTGCACAAACAAAGGACCCCAAATCTCTTACATCTAGACTTGTCTTGCTCTACACTCCCAAAGTCTCTTACCTCTCAGGTTCTTTTACTTTCCACTTTTAAAAATCTTTTATCTCTACAATTTCTCTGCATTCTACTTTCAAAAAAAATCCCTTAAAACTATGTGGTAAACTCTATCTCAGGTTTTTTTTTTTTTTGAGACAAGGTTTGTTTGTGTAGCCTAAGGTGCCCCGAATTTTACTCTATAAATCAAGTTTACTTTGGACTCACAGAAATCCTCCTGCTTTTGCCTCCCCAGTGCTGGGATTAAAGGTGTCCACCACAACTGCCTGGCCTATCTCAGTATTTGTACATTCGTTGGGTATGGTTAAAAAAATGTATAAGATCTGTAACCAAATTTGGCTTAAAACTTGTAACAAAGGTCTATTATTAAAAATCTGTACATTGGTAATATTTGCTACAACTTACCATTTACGTGAGTCAACTCTTGTTTAAAATACTGTGGATGTAGTTTGGATTCAACTATTGTTTAAAAATAGATCTAAAAAATAGGTATTTTAACTAACAGCCATATGGCCGGCAGCTATCTTTACTAAGGTTGAAGGGTACATGCCATGTGTCTTCACTACCATTTTGATTAAGATGACCACATGGTGTAAACCAAGTAAGGCAACACTCATAAAGCTTCTCAGGCCCACTGAGCTCTTAGTTTAACATTGTATCTCTTTGTAGACTAAGGAAGCAACAGCAAGTCTCCAAAATATTTGTATTAGGATGGATTTTTGTATAATAAAAAATTCCTAAAGTTAAAAAGGTATACTCAGGTTAACCGACCTACCTTAGAGGTGTATGTCTAACTTATGTCTTTGCTATATACTCAACACCAGGCTTCTAGTTACATTTGATAATAAGATTTATAAATTTCTATGACCTACTCAGGTTCACAGTAATATTTGTATAGCTTGTCTTTGCTCACTTTGTTAGGCTTTAGCTTTTTGGATAAACTAAGCCACACACACACAAAAACTGTAATATTCTGTAATGGTACACTATAAAAAAGATCAGGAAAGTTCTCAGTCTCTTTATGTACTGCATTTATAGATTAAAGTTTAGTGTATTTATGGTTTAGTTCTATTTTGATGCTAAAGGATCGTCAATTAAATCTTCAACTCAAATTTTTAAGGCTCAAACTTAACAGGGACAAAGTTGTAAAATCCTAATCTTATATAATCTACTAGATTATTATAAACTGTTTAAGATAATTAAGGCATACAAGTTAATTGTTTTCAAGGTTGCGCCTAAAGCAAGTAACTAATCAGGTATACTTAATAGATACGCGGTCCTTGAGCTCTTTGGAGATCTGCTGAATATGGCATTTAAAATGTTTAGTGAAAAAGCTTCCCATGATAGAAAGGCATGCAGGCTCCTACTGGGAACTCTTGGGTGTCCAGGGGAGATAGATGGAGCATGAGGACTCCATTTGAATTGTGGTGACACTGGTCACTGGGCAAAGCTGCCCCATACCTTGCCTGCTGCCAGGGCTCTGCTGAAGCTGTGGACACTTTTGGGTTGACTGTCCTACTCTGCCTGGTCAAGGTTGGGTCATTCCCCTAGATTCCTTCTTGGAAAGAAAATCTCTCAGACCTGGGTTTGGCTGCCAAATTATGCTGCTGCTCTGTATGGCAGCTACAACCTCTGCCCCCAGCAAGGCCATCAGGACCCTGGGGTGGTGGGTAGGTCTCTGCCATTTTAATTGATACATATGCATATGAATGATACCTCATGCTATGGTTTATCTTTCTCAGATCTTTAATGATATTGACTGACTAACTGTAGTCTTAACAGCAGCAAGCTTTAGCAGCTTCTCCTGCAAGGATATAGATGATTTTTCTTCACACGTAAAAATCAGGCCTTAGGGCTCACTTTCTAGTAGCTACTGAGTCTCCAGCTGAGAAAGATACACAGTTTAACCTTGCTACTAGACTCTGAAAAGAGATAAATTCAACAGGTCTCTATTTATTGTTCGTTTCTTTAAAGGAACTTGCTTTACAATAACTGCTCTCAGTAATCAGCCACTTGTGTCTCATGGTAAATGATTAGATACAGAAAATTTAAAGTTCATGTGAGTTCTGAGGATCTTGAAAGTGTTCTAAGGTATACAGATAATGCAAATTGTAAAGATCTAAGAAAGTAATTTAAGGTATGTAAAGGTTTGAGGATATGAAAGCTTAAATATACAAGATATAAAGGTATAAAGCTGTTTCAAATTTCTTTCAAATTTTCTCTATGCTATTATACTAAAAGTTCTAAAGTTCAAAATTTCAGCACCAGTCAACGGAGTTCTAAGCTAGTAAAGAACTGAGTTCTATTTTCAGTCAGAACCTCAATATTTTAAACTTCCTTTGGTTGTCTTCTAAGTGTAGACTTGAAAATACTTCTCATGGTGCTAAAAACATCTCTGTCCAATCTATATATCCAGCATTTTGGAAAGAATGTGAATTCTTTCAGCCCAGAATTATTTTTGGGCCACCAAGCTTTTACTATGACTCAAAGGCCTGAGTCTACTGCCTTTTCTACAATGTGGTGTGAGAGCCAAAGTTACATTTTAAGTTTTAATTACTCCACCTACGAGATCTATGTAATAAAAATGCCTCTGATCTGCAAGTCCCTTACATAAGGAAAAATAGTTCCTGAAATGCTGGAGGCTGTTGTTTGTGGGAGACAGCAAGGCTCATGTTTTTACTCCCCTAAACACATTTGTTTGACTTATCTGCGCTGGATGTGCTTGATCACACATGGGTGGGAAGTACATGGGCAGGAAATATGTGAGAATGTACCCTTGCCCCTGACTGGATGTGGGCAGGAGGTATGCAGGCAGTAAGCAGGTCAGGATGTATGCTTGGCCCTGATTGGACCTTGTGGGAAATGTGGTGATTTATGGGTTTTGCCTTCTTAAGCCCCTGCAAAACTTGATTTGGGGCTTGGATATGAACCTGGCCAGAGCCCATCCTCCTGGCCAGTATTTAATTAAAGCTTGCTTCAAATTTGGCTTTAAACTGTGATAATGGTCTTATTCTCAATTAGTGGGATTAACAATGGATTTTAGTACAGATTACAAACAATGGTAATGCCAACATATCTAAAACTTTTTATCTCTTTTTGTAAACTTAAAAAAATTTTGAATGCTTCAGGGAGTCAACTTGGACACACCTCTCACAGGACAAATGGACTCTGGATAAGTACTCATAAGTTTCCCCACCTGTCTATCCCTGAGGGTGGGGCCTCTCTCCCTTTCCCTGGTCTTGGGATTTCCCTCCTGCAACTACCAGGAGTGTGGCCTCAAAGTTTCAAATGCACACCCTGGCTAAAAATTTTCCCCTAAACTCCTTAACTTTACCCTCTGTCCCCTCACCTGTCTGTCCCAATAGGTTTCAGATCAACTGTAGACTGCTCCAGCAATTTCCCAGCCCCAGGTATTCTCTCAGAATCTGATTCTAGAGCACTCCAAAGTGGTTAGCCACAGGTAGTCCTGCTTCAGGAGCTGCCAAAGCGGTCCGAGTTTCTCTAGCCTCAGATGGTGCCGTAGAGCCTGGATGTCAAGTGAAGCAGCCTGCCCTGCCCTCTTTTTCTTCCCAGCCTTGGCCAGTATTCCAGCTTCCTTGAGTCCCCAACAAAGAAACCCCAATGTCAGTAGAAAGTAGTCATAGAAAAGATTACATTATCCCTGATCATTTATCATCAACAAAAAGGCTGGGATGTTAAGCCTCAAATCTGGGACAATGGCTGAGGGGCCTATTTGACATATCAAAGCAGACCTGGCCTCTAGGTTCTCTCAGTATCCATTAGTCCCTACCTGGTATAGGGTAAAGCTGGCATACCCTGGCCCCTACCACAAACTTTTCAAGCCCAGGAGCTGGGCTGTCCTTCCCCATTTTGGTTACCTTGTCCCTTTTTGGTCTACCCTTTATTCTCCTCTCCTCTTACATGGTCTGGCTCAGAGTCATGTTCCCTCTGGACTCTCCCAGATGTCCTGGTCTCTGGCTATGCTCCCCCTTTTATCTACAATAAATCTTCTTCCACCATAAAAAAGTAAAATTTTGAAATTTGAGTAAGTAAAAAAATGTATTGGGGTTATACATATATGATACGTGATTTTGCATATCTAATCTAATAAAATTAGTTGGGCAGTGGTGGCCCATTTTAATCCCAGCACTTGGGAGGCAGAGGCAGGCAGATCTCTGTGAGTTTGAGGCCAGCCTGGGCTACAGAGTGAGTTCCAGGAAAGGTGCAAAACTACACAGAGAAATCCTATCTCGAAAAACCAAAAAAAAAATGTAATATACTATATATAATATAGTATAAATATAATATAATGAAATACAGTGCAAGCCTTGTCTGAAAATGGTGTGAAAGATCAGAGAGATTATGACTTTCCATCATCTTCTGACCCAAGTTCATTCACACTTGGCTTCATCCCACCTCTCCACTGGAGCTCACACTCTCAGCAATGCTATTTCTTCATTGCATAACTCAAAACACGGGAAGTCTCTTTACAGGTTGTGTAGACCTATTGTCTTCATAACTTTTATCTTTATATTCAGTTGCTTGCTTCCCTCTGAGGTCGTAGTATGGTCAACACAATTTGACAGCACGTAAATGGTTTCATTAGTCTCATAATCATACTTTCTGGAGATCAGAGTGATGCCCTAGTTGGTCTGTAAATGGTGAAAAGATCAGGGAAGGGTTGGTGCTTTGAATTTCCATATTGATTAAGAGGTGGGTCTAGGATGAGGAGTCCCTGTGTCAGTCAAGGCTAGCATGGGCTGAACTTCCTGCCTGTGTCAAAGGAAGGCACACTGGGCCTTTTAGTTCATGTGTCCACATGTGGGTGCAAGAGTATGAGTAAGGGATGAACCTAAGATAAATGTATGCACTACATTTTTAGTGTATTTTCTAAACTACTATGTATAGTTTCAAATATATGACTATACTTTTACTTTCTGTCAACCTTACACAAGAAAAGCCCATTTGAATTATCTTAAGTGTATTTTCTTAAATATAGGTGCATGTTTCCTCTGTCTATTAATCTCCCCTCCCACCCCACCCCAAATTACTGATGTCTTTTCTTCATGCTGGATTATGTGGGCTTTGTAATGTGGAAATACATGAGTGTACTTGCTGGGAACAGATGCGAGTTATATTTCTACTGTGTATTCTTTTTTGAGAACTTGATACACGAGTCCTAGTCTATTTAACTTTGACAGCCATCTCCAATTCATGATTTCTTCTTTTGTAATTATTGTGTGATATATATACACATGTGCATACAACCTACTAAGTCCATTTAGCATTGTTTATAGGTATATGTGTCCAGAGCTGAATACTTGGGATTGGACAACCTCTGTAGGAATTTTTCCTTGGAGGAATGATTCTCCATCTCTCAGCAGCCATTGATTGCTTTGATTGTGTTGATTGGGCCAACACAGGGACTCCTCAGCCTAGACCAACCTCTTAATCAATATGGAAATTCAAATTCATCTAGAGATAGGAATATGTGGAATTTCCCATCCTGGTTGCCATGTCAACTGGTGTCATGCTGTTCTTATTCAGGCAATTGTTGAGAACTCATGGGAGCATTTCCCATATCATGTTTGGGGAAACTCTCTAGCAGCTGATGTCCTTGTCCTCTGGCTCTTACCATTCTCTCTTCTTCCTTTTTCATGATTTTCCCTGAGCCTTAGAAGTAGAGGCTATATTGCAGATGTATCAGTTAGGGTTGTATCCCACAGTCACTTATTCTCTGCATTTTGACCAGTTGAAGATATCTGTAATAGTCTCCATCTGTTGAAAAACAAACTTCTGTGAGTTATAAGGATAAACATTCATGATATATTTAGAAATTAAGTTTAAAAAACTGAGATTTGTATTTAGAAGATAATTATAAATTGATATTTTCACTTCCTCTAGTACCAGAAGGCTCTGACTTGCTATCTCAGCTTTCCCACAAATAGAAGGGGCTGTATTTCTTTTTGCAAAGCAGATCTCTGCCTTTGTGCCCTGAATTCTGTTACATGTCAGCCTCCACTTGGTGCACTCCAATCTTTCTTAGGAAATTGAGAAGCCCTCATTCTCATGGAACTGCCTGGAGCACTGTGAATGTAGACGAGCTGCAAATGTAAGAAGTATCATGGGTTTGCCGAGATTGTGAATATCTCATTCACAAGTTTAAAACACTTCACACATGTTGGCTGTTTTGAATGTTTGGGATTTAATAAAACATATTATAAATGATTTTAGAAGAAAATAAATTGATTTAAGAATTGTTACTACGATTTGTATGTACATTGTGAGTAACTGTTCATGCATAGATTTAAATTGCACCCATTTTATAAATATTTTTAAATGTTCTTAAGTTCCTGTTTTTTCATCTTGAAAATGAGGGCTTTAGAAGCCTAGTGAAAAGAAGAGAATATTTGTAGACTACAAATTAGATGGAGCTCATCAGATAATTTATTTGGGAGACAGAGAACAAAGTGTCTCTCAGGCTTGTTGAGGTCATAGTGATGATTCTTCTCTAGGTAGCTCACACTCCCAACTGTTTTAATTCGAAAGTTTAAGATACATATGGGGATTGTACATTAACTTCTAACTTCCTTTGTTCTAGGGTCTCCCTGTGACCCTAGCTTCCTTCTGGCCTGTGTTCCCTGCAATGTGATCTCTGCTGTCATTTTCCAGCATCGTTTTGACTACAATGATGAGATATTCCAAGAGTTTGTGGAGAATTTTTATAGAACTGTTAAAACTTTAGCATCACCTTGGGCTCAGGTGAGATCCAGTTCTATTCATATGTGAAAACGTTATGTGACCCAAGTCTGTACTGTCACCATCCAAAAGCTAATATTCAGGCTATGAACTTTGGTTGTCTGATATCAGGTTTATTGGAGAGCTGGCATTCTGAGAAGATGTGAGTAGTTTTTAACTTCAAAAAGAGGGCATTTGTGTGAATTTGGGAAAATAAAAGGACTTTTACAGGGTGTAGAGTACAATAAGAAGGCTGTGTCCTGACTTGTGCATTCTGTCTTCTAACTGTCCCCATTTCTTGGAGAATCTTTTCTTCTCCTCTTTGAGTCCTTCTCACTTTCCTCCCTCCCTCCTTTCTTCCCCTGTTTCTTTCTTTCCATTATATAGCCCAGGCTAGCCTTGAAACTCATAATCTTTCTGATTCTGCCTCCTGAGGTGTAGAAACAACAGATGTGTGCCTGTTTAATGAACTCAGCAGTTTGAATTTCTTTATGACACACCAATGTATCTGTAGTGGCAGTAGCAGTTGATACAATAATTCTCATAAGTACAGCAATGATCAGTCCAATCATCCTATGAGTTCTTACGAGTACTCTTTCAGTGAGCTTCTGCTTCTGCACTAGAAGTATCACATGTGAGTCTTGCCATGGCCTCAACAGTTTCATCAGCATCCAGACTGTTGGCCTTGCTCTAAGAATGTACAGTCTTTCAGAGGTGACATTTAAAGACACAATAGAATTAGCACAGGTATGAGGAGTATAGTGTTCACAAATGATACTATAATTATTAGGGTGCCATTGAACAGGCCTTTTTAGTAACAAATAAGGTAATGGAACACATGCTACAAAAAGGTGACTCTGATTTAAGCTAAAAGATAAAGTATACTTACCATCATTTATGTTCAACTTTCCTTTCCATGCTTTAAGAGAGCAGGAGGCACTTGCTAATTTCCCCAAATTAGTTTGAACTGAATTGCCAAATTGCAAGAGGGGACTTGATATGCCAACACCATGCTATTCAATCAGTTCATTAAAAGTAGAACTAGCCGGGCGGTGGTGGCGCACGCCTTTAATCCCAGCACTCGGGAGGCAGAGCCAGGTGGATCTCTGTGAGTTCGAGGCCAGCCTGGGCTACCAAGTGAGTTCCAGGAAAGGCGCAAAGCTACACAGAGAAACCCTGTCTCGAAAAAACAAAAACAAAAACAAAAACAAAAACAAAAAAACAAAAAAAAAAACCCAAAAAAGTAGAACTAATTTCCATGGTTTCATTTAAACTATACCATTACCAACTCAATGCTGAGAGCATATTTTCTTTGAGGGAAGCCATATGAGTTCCAATCAATGACTTCTCCCATGGGAGATATTAACAAGCACCCAAGGGTTCTCAGGTTTACATTATTGCCAATGTATCCAGTCAGATTCCTTGTTGGTAACCCCTATCTCACAAAGCAGCAGATTTATGGAACTAGTAGTATTGATCTCCTATCCTCTAAAACCAGATGCTTGAAGCATATATAAAACTTATTATGAAAATCCTGGGTAGTATTAACTGTAGATAACCACACTTGAAAAGTTATATTTAGACATTAAGTTCCATTCCCCATACAAATAGGAATTCCTTACACTTCCACAGTATAAATTAAGATTTCCTTACCCACCTCTATAGGCTTAGCAGGTCCTCAGTTGTTATAAGTACCAGGTAGCCAAGAAGATTCATTAACTACCACAGGGATATACATATCTCCCTAACTTACTTCTAGGTTAATTGGAGGATTAGGAATATAGGCCCGATATGTGTGATTGGTCCCCGTTGCCTGTACAGTTATCGTGGACAGCATAGCAAGAAATAAAGTTGTAGCATTCAAATGTTTCTTAGCCAGTCGAACTATTGTTTCCATTATCAGACAATTTCTTAAGATGTCTTCAGGGAAGAGGATCAGCTTTCCATTTTAAGGACTTTCTCTCTTTCTTTACAACCTTTCTTCTGTAGAAACATAAGCATAACCTCGGTCTCAATGTAACACCTTCCCTGGTTTCCATTCTAACGTTCAAACGTCCTTGTAGTACACAGGCTGATTCAGTTCAGCAGTTTTCCCCCCACAATCCAATGCCTTTCAGCAGCCATTGTCCTGCTTCTATTAGCATTTTAAAAAAATTAAAGATAGTAAAGCATTATGCAATCTATCCCTGGGAGCCCTCACATCCCCCTTCTCTCTAAAAAACATTTCTAAGTTATTTTTTTGTTAACCTGAGTATACCTTTATAACATTAGCAACTTATCATCACATAAAAATCCATTTTACTAACAGGAAAAAACCTACCTAGGAGAACAGTGAAGAACAGCTGTAGAAAGAAAACGTGTAAAAAAAAAAATTAAAAAAAATCCATTTTAATTCAAAATAATAGTAAGCAGAGGTTCATTAGGACTAAGAAATTTTATAGGTTCTGTCTTTGACCAATAATGGCCACAGCTGTTCTTCACTGTTCTCCTAGGTAGGTTTTTTCCTGTTAGTATTTTTTTTAGCAGTTGAGGTGGCTGCAGTTCAGTATTACTATCATGTTTCAATAAAATTCCATTTATTTATTTAATTCATTTATTTTTTAAAGCAAGGAAACTGAGCTGAAGAAACACATTAAGCCTTCTTCACAGTTTTGTTTCCTCTTTTAAAATTTTTGTCTCAAACTATTCACATTTCATCCATTCCAACTTCTTGTTAACTAGTCTTCATTCTCAAGTACCTTTTCCAAATCTTTCCTTCTACTATATCTTTTCTACATCCACAATCATTCTGCAATGTTTTTTTTTTCCCCCGCTCAAGTTAGGCCACTTTCTGTTCTCAGTGCATCTCTATCCTTCATGTGTTAATTTTTATATGAGGTCCGTTAATGCTGAGTCTCAACCTTTCTTAAAGATACCCATTTTGGATGAGGATATTACAAACTGGGGTTTCAAAGCTGTCCATTATTACAATAAGAAGGAAGTTTTTCTTAGTCAACTCAACAAACTGTCACCCAAATTTAAATAAATAGCAGAGTCAGTGAAATATTCCACGAATTAGAAACATTTAATAAAGGCTGTCTGATTACAGTGAATTTAAACTTTTGAGCTGTATAACTCAGTATTGACACAATCTTTTTGTGGAACATGTGGGATTTGCATGTAAATATGCTCTTTGTCTTTTTCAAAAGCCATCTATAAAAGCATTAAAACAAACCTCTACAGGATTTTAGGAGGTAACTTCGGGTAATATCCATGGAGAGTTTTTTTAAAAAGAGAATCCTTTTTATTTCTTATTGATTCCAAGTAACATGTTAATGCCAACTGCCAATTATTAACGGTGTGGAACAAACAATTTACCTGCATTTTATTTAGTGGAAAAATAATTTTTTTAGGCTCTTTATCAATAAGAGATTATTTCTAAGAGCTACCACCTTAGAATATTTAATAAGTTAATAACCTGTTCTGTTTTAGGTATTACATTTTTATAGAATTTAACTGAGAGTTTCCAGAAAGTAACTTAAAAAACAGAGCCAAATCCTAGGTAGTGATAAACAGATAAGAGCATACTTAATGATACAGTTCAAAATTATGAATTTTGCTCTTTCATTTTATTTACTATGATAATTAGGTATTCATTTAAGCATTAATTAGATGATCAAGAGAAGAGAACATCCTCCATATAACTAAGGACTACTGCTGCTGGAAACTTAAACAGCATTGGCTTAGACTTTATGCCCTGATTCCAGTTGTTTTTGTACTAGAAGTTGGGCTTGTCTTAATTTTTTTCTCCCATGAAGGGACCATAGATATTGAGTTATTCTTGGTATTAGGGAAAAACCAGAAACATTTCCTATGAAGGGACTTTTAATATTGCGTTATTCCCCTATAAGGGAAAAACAAAGAACATTTAAACAAAAATCAAGAAAATAAAGAAGAAAATTCTAAGTTCTGGGCCAGCTGTGTTGGCTCCAGCTGCGGCAGTGGGGCCCAGACTGTCATTTTTTGGAATTCAGGTGTCACTGCTCTGCACTGCCGGGCCTTTGACTGGAAGAGCTGACAGGTAGCATGCAGCCAGAGAGCTCTGAGTTCCAGCTGATTTTAATTCCTTCCAATCGTTTAGAGTAATTCTATTCTGAGTAGCCCAGTTATTTAAAACCTGTCTTAGATAGGGTAAATGCATCCCATGTGCCACCACTATTTCGTTCAACTGGTCTAGCTCTGTCATCTCTGTAGGATTCCAGCTAACAACTATCATTCTTTTTCTATCAGGAAGAGCCTTTTTCCTTCCTCTATTTTTTTTTGTCTCTTGAGCCTTTCTATTTGCAGGCCTTGATTAAACATTTCCCCTTCCTCTATCGGGAAAATCCTTTTTCTTGATTAAACAGTTGCCCCTTTTCCACCTGGAAGGGTCTTTTCCTTGATTTATTCTTTGTCTCAGGAGTCATTCCATTTGTATTTGTAATATTTGCAAATGTGAAGTTAATGCTTCTCCTTTTAACAACTGTACATATTACCACTCCTGAGATGGGGGATTCCCCATGTCCCTGTCAAATCCTGGAGTCCCCCTTACCCGAGCAATCGTTACCTCCAGTCCTGGAGTCTTGCTTACCTAAGCACAGGATACTTCCAGTACTGGATTGTCCAGGTTCCTCTTTCTTCCCAGCCCCATGACATTGGGTGCCATATATAGGTGTTCTGTATGACTTGAGTAGGTCAAAGAAAGAAAGTCACTCCAGAATGTATTTCAGCTTTTGCTAGCAGCAGGGGGATCAGCTTCTGATGAACTGAATGCCTAGCAGCTTCACAGAAGCCTCTTTATTGTTACACAAAAGGCACATTCAGCCAGTCAGTTTCCTCATACCAAAACCTCTTGTCTGGTCTAGGAGTTGTCTGAAGGAATGAACCAGTACCTAAGAAATTATCAGTCATGTGAGACTTCCTGGTTTGCCAGACTTCCTGGTTTGCCAGGTATGACTGGAGACTAAGTTATTCAAAGTCTCTGAAATTTCTTCAGGAAGAGCAACTTAGATCATCACGGACTATTTACAAAAGGTTACTTCAAAGCCTAGGTTCCATCACTCTGGAATTTATGCCAGATACAACAGATGTGTTGAATCTTTCACTATAACTCTCATTTATAATAACATGGTAGTTGAGCATTGAATGGCCCTACTTCATACTTTTTCCCAAAATAAAAAAAAAACAGATTTTTAAACAGCTAGCCACAGGCTATACTTTAAAATTATATATATGTAATTATATGTATACATGAAATTATATACAATTATATACACATACATAAAATTATATATGTAATTATATATACATAATTTGAAAATTAGGCATTCACTTAAGCATTAATTAGATGATAAAGAGAACATCCTACTATTAACGAATAACTAATTTGAGATTATAATCACATCATTTCCCCCTTCTGTTTCTTCTCCAGCTTCTCCCATGTATCTGGCCCCCTTGCTCTCATTCAAATTCAAGGTCTTTTTTTTTTAAGAATACACACACACACACACACACACACACACACACACACACACACACACATATATATCTCCTCCTGATTCATTATGTGTTGCTTGTATGGATACGATTTCAGGCTGACCACTTGGTGTTAGGTAACCAATTAGGAGACATCCCCAGAGAAGACTAAAACTCCCTCTCCCAGCAGCCTTTAATTGTCTAGGGGTGGAAACTCAAGAGATTTCCCCCTTCTGCATTTTCATGTCTACTGGAGTTGCAGTTTTTAAGTGACTGGAGAATTATGTGCAAGATAAACGGGGATAAAGACTTCTTCTATCCCTGCTCTCACTGACTTGTGGTCTAAGAATCTGACTAGTCATTCTGCATCTCAGTGTTCTCAGTAGGACTGAGGTGACAGTGGCATTAGCCCACACAATCCTTTGGCGATCTTTTGTCGTGAATTGAATGCGATCTGAAGTTGCTTCACAAGCTGTGCACATGGCAGCTCTGATCATTTGATCATGCTGTGCCTGCTCCTCCAAATGGCAGGCATACGGAGCCCAGGAGGCATGTGAAACTCACCCTTACGAAGAAGTGTTGGACAGCTAGCCAAGGCCTGGAAGGGGTGCTGTTTGCACTAACGCAAGTTTGTTTCTCTTCCAGCTGTGCAGTGCCTACCCTGTGTTGTACCGTCTCCCAGGAAGCCATAACAAATTCTTTAAACATGTAACTGAACAGAGAGAGTTTATTTTGAAGGAAATAAAAAGGCATCAAGAATCTCTGAACCTCAGTAACCCTCAGGACTTTATAGACTATTTCCTGATTAAAATGGAAAAGGTACAAGGGATCCTGACTTGCTACTTCTCATTCGTGGGAGTTCTGGCTCAATTTTTTTGATCTTGGTAAAAGTGGGATGTTCAAAATAATGTTTCTTCTAATGATACATTCATTGCTTGTTGAACCAGTTTCTTAAGGCAACTCATTTAGAACATATTGGGATCATTCCGATTCTCAGTTATTTAGAATTAGAAAGTTTATCTTTACTATGTTCTAGGTTAGTTCTTTACTTTGAGGCAAATGAAAACACATACATACCAATTTAAGAGTGATGAGAACATGTCGTATACGTAAACAAACCTTCAGGAACAACAGGTGTAATGACTTAGGGAACACAGGACTTTTCTTTAAAGAGACTCTAGGAAATCTTTGCAGGTGAGCTTGGCTTTGAGGAAACTCCTGTTTAGGTGAACAGGAGCCTAAGCTAGAGGATGGTAATTGTAGTCTTCAACTGAGCTATCTTTGAGAAGGTGACATTGATTTGAATTATGGTGGTGGGTGTAAGGACTGAAGAGATTAAAAATAGCAATGGAGTTTGTATATGTGTAGTCCCTGAGACTTTAAATGTAATAAAGTTTCACCAGGGCTAGAACTGATGGTATCAGTAACTGACTTGATAAACACTATATTTGAAAAAAAAAAAATCACAGAGGAACTGATTTTCTCCATTGGGTGAGAAGGGAGGAACAAGAAAAAACTTGGAATTTTGTACCTTGAATTATGTTTTAACTATGTGAAGGAATCCTAAGGGTCACTGGATTCCTTTATCTTCAGGTAGAATACTTTCTAATGTCTTGCTTACCTACAAAATGCTTTTTTTCATATTGAATTATTTTATTTCTTGAAAGCCTTTAAAATAAACAAACATACAAGCAAGCAAACTAATTTCTATAACCTATAATTGTTAGGAAAAACAGAATAAAAACTCAGAATTTACCATGGAAAACCTGGTCATCACCATATCGGACCTTTTTGGTGCGGGAACAGAGACAACAAGTTCCACAATAAAATATGGGATTTTGCTCCTGCTGAAGCATCCAGAGGTCACAGGTATGATCATAGACGGGCAGATGAACGTCCAAGTAGAAATAGGCAGATAGAACTAGAAACTGTCTCACTCTTTTCTAGAACATACACTGTACTAGCAACATTTGCATAATTAGTATACTTACCTCCTACTGGATGAATTTAATTCAAACTAGATCACAGTAAAGAAAAAAAAATCTTTAAGTCACAGCAGGAAATGGAAGGGAAGTGGCCACTAATCTCCCTGCTGTGATTCAGAATCCTTGATTTGGGTTGACACAAATACGTAATAGTTTTCTTCCTCACATTTTTCCTACATTGTAATAAATATATATTTATTTCCCAGAAAGTATATATCATTTAAACTTTTCTTAGCATATATTAATTATAGTCAATGATGTGCTTCATTACAACATTTTCAGAAATAGATGATTATTTTGATTATACCCATTGCTCTTTCTCCGCCTGTCTTCCAGTAACCCCCTTCCTCTTCCCAACTCGTCCCTTTTTTACTTTCATGGCTGTGTTTTTCTTTTTTCAATAAACCAATAGTTTAATTAGGTTTATTTACCTGATCATTGGTGAGATGATATTTGCTGTATTATCAACAACTGACCAGTGACCACATTACTCAAGAGACTCTCTCTTTTCATCCCAGGAAATATTAACTCCCCATAGATCCTCAGGAAGATTTTGGGTCTTGTAAATCCCTCACCTCTCAATGAGGGAAGGTTGATGGGTTCATTCTTGTTCAGATGTTTTGTGGGTGGTCATAGCTGCTGACAGTTCAAGAGTTAAGTGTTCATGTGTCATAGAGTTTCTAATGCTGTGAAAAGACACCATGACCGCTGCAACTCTTATAAAGGAAAGCATTTAATTGGGGCTGGCTTACAGTTCAGAGGTTTAGTCTGTTGTCATCATGGTGGTGCACAGTCAGACATGGTGCTGGAGAGGTAGCTTTGAGTTCTATATATGGATCATCAGGCAACAGGAAGACAAGAGTGATCCACTGAGCCTAGTTTGAGCTTCTGAATCCTAAAAGCCCACCCCCTGTGGCAAACTTCCTTTGACAAGACCACACTTACTTCAACGAGGTCACACCTCTAATAATGCCACTCCCTATGAGTCTCTGGGGCCATTTTCATTCAAACCACCACTCTATACTTTAAAAAATGTTTACAAGCCACTTGTGCTTCATCTTTTAAGAACTCTGTTCAGAACTATAACCTGTTTGATTCAATTATTTGTTTTGTGTTTAGAGTTTTGGGTTCATTGTATACTCTAGATAGCAATCATGCATCAGATGTGTAGCTGAAAATCATTTTCTCCTGTCCTGTTGACTACCTCTTCATCTGATTGACCATTTCTTTTGAGTAAAGAGGCTTTTAATTCCATGATGATCCTATCAATTACTGTCATTATTTCATGAGCGACTGGAGTCCTATTTATTAAGTCCTTTGTCCCCCCCTGGGCCTTACTGAAGTCTCTTTTCCTCCTTCGTGCCCAGATGTTCTTTTTACATATATTCCATTTTCTCTTCATTACCTAGTTATACCCCTGCGCTGTCTCCACACTTCACAACTGTTTGCACATACACATAGACATACAAATAGATACAATAGGTTAAGGTCCCCTAGGAGGGAGAACATACAGTTTCTCATTTCTGAGTTTGGTTCACCTCAACATTATATTCTTCTTATCCATCCTTTTATTGGACAATTTTATGTTGTCTTTTTCTTTAACAGCTGAAAACTCTTCCATTCTGTATATGTACTACATTTTCATCATCCATTCATCAGCTGATGGACATCTAGGATGGCTCCATTTCTTTGCTATCAATAAACAAGGATGTATAAATGTGTCTGTGGCAGCATATGGGGTTCCTGGGTATATCTCTAGGAGTAGTCATGTGATAGATCTCGCTTTAACTTATTGAGGAACTGCCATAATGATTTCCATAATGGCTGTACTAATCTGCACTCCCATCAGCAGTGGAAAGGGTCCCTTTCCCCATATCCAGAGCAACATTTGTTGTCAGATTCCTTAATGATAGCCATTATAACTGGGGTGAGATGTTATCTCAAAGCAATTTTAATTTGCATTTTCCTGATGACTAGCCATATTGATCATCTAAACAAATGCTTTTTAGCTAGTTGTGTTTCCTTTTATGAGAACTTTTCATTTGTCCACTTGCTGATTGGCAGATTTTTTTTTGTGTGTGTTTAAGATTTACAGTTCTTTGTGATTTCTGAATTTCTGAATATTAGTCTGAAAGATAGCTGGCTAAGAATCTAAGAGGTTATCCCATCTGGGAATTCTCTGTTTACTGTTTACTCTCCTGTTAAGTTTTTTTTTTTTTCTATATGGAATCTTTTGATTTAACTTTGTCCCATCTGTTGATTCTTGAGGCCAATGCCCTGCTCTCAGAACTCTGTTCAGGGAGTTCTTTCCCATACCTATTTCCTTAAGTTCATTTCTGATGTTTTCCCTAGAAGCCTCAACATTTCAAGCTTTAATTAAAGTCTTTGATCTACTTTGCACTGAGTTTTGCATAGAGTGAAACATGAATATAATTTCGTTCTTCGGCACATAGATCTCCAGTTTAGCCAACACCATTTATTGGATAGTCTGTCTTATTTTTCCACACTGCATGTCTTTGTGTGTGTGTGTGTGTGTGTGTGTGTGTGTGTGTGTGTGTGTGTGTGTATGAGGCTACTGTGAATGTGTTTATTTTAGTAATTGATTTCTCAGTATGCTTGTTATTGGTGTATGGACAAGTACTGATTTCATATGTTAACTTTATATCCTGACACTTTGCTGAAAGTGTTTATTGTCTTTAAGTATTTTATAGTAGATCCACTAGAGTCTCATATTTAGAATCTTGTCATCTGTGTATTAGGTTTTGTACTCTTGTATAAATGATAGAATTTGTTTTCCTTAACTCTCTACTTCCTACTACAACTTGAAAATGATCAAGACTCAAATAAAAGATAATTCTTTTCCACTTTATAAAACCCATGATTTCTGCCTTGAAGCTAAAATTCAAGAAGAAATTACACGTGTGATTGGCAGACATCGGAGCCCCTGCATGCAGGACAGGAACCACATGCCCTACACAGATGCTGTGCTGCATGAGATCCAGAGATACATTGACTTTGTTCCCATTCCCTTGCCTCGTAAAACAACACAGGATGTGGAATTCAGAGGATACCACATTCCCAAGGTGAGATCTATTTCATCTGTGCTCCTCACCAGGCAACTTTGCTTGTCAACAATTAAGTAATGTGGTTACATATGGCCTGACCATCCACAAGGGTGCCAGAACCATATGCCAGTCATCTCAGCCCCGTCACACCCTGCTCCTTTGTCCGTCATTTGTTGATATGGTTTTCTAACATGATTGGGTTCTCACAAACTTTTCAGTCCTTTGATATGTCCATACTCTTCCTTGGTTTGATGGAACTCATCTATGCAGCTCAGTAAGTTGACATCATACCAAACAAATTGGTATTGTTTTTATATACATATCAGTACACATAATTTATTTTGAGACTTGGTCTTATTCTGGACTTAAAAAAATAATATCCCAGCTCCAACCTCCTGAGCACTGGAGTTTACAGGCTCAAGCCACCATTTTCTACTTAGTTTTAACCAACACTTAGTATTTTGTTTATCAATAAATAAACTGATTTTATTCCAATTAACTCACAAATTAAAATACCACATAGCTAGTTTAAGGAATCCACTCAAACACGTGCCCAGTCCTCCCACTTGCTTGGTAAGCATTTCTCCACTGAGCCATATCCCTGGCCTCTATGTTTTTAATATTATTGATTAATGTTAGTTGAGTCCCAAGTTTGCTGGAGATAAAGACATAATTTCTCTCTCTCTGAAATTGTTTTTGTGCTAGAGGTATCAGTGAATGTTTTGAATAATTCATTACACGTTTTAACATTTGGCCCAAATATGCTTAATTTGTGAAGTCTCCAGATATGTTGTTGATTTCACCCTGAAAATTTAGGGCTCTCCTAATCTGGCCTGTTTCTGGAACATAGCCCTTTTCTTTTTGGCTTCTATGTGGGCTTTTATGGCAAGCTTGACACTGGTTGTTTAAGCAGGGGGCTCAAGGTAGATAGCTAAAGTATAGTCATTTAATCCTTTCCCCTGGAACCTGCCCTCGGGATAATACCAAGATAATGGAAACCCCACTCTGTACTATTTTTCAAGAACCTTCCATGTTCCAGAATATCCACAGTTTTTCCAGTTCCACTCTAAGCACGTGTGTGTGTGTGTGTGTGTGTGTGTGTGTGTGTGTGTGTGTGTGTGTGTTTAGACTGTAAACCACCATGTGGAGTGTCTCACATGACTCCCCATTTACACATCTCTAAGTGCACTAATGTCTTTATGTTCAGTCTTCTCATGCTTTTAATTTCATATAGTAAATTTTCAAATCTTCTCTTCTTAATTCTAGAATTTATGTCTTTATAGTTTCCATTTACTAATATTTGATACTTTGTAATACTTGGGTATATTAATGACAGCTCCCTTCACTTAGAAGTGTAGTGTCTCCTGTATTCTTTTACAGTTATTCCTTCAAGTACTCAAATATATTCACATTAGTTATATTTTGAAGTTTTGTGTGATCCCGCTAAATTTAGACAATCATACTGACTGATAGTTTTTCATCTGTTGTGGCTTGCATTTCTCCTTTTCCATGCTTGCTAATGGCTAATGGGAGGTTTTTTTTTTTTTTTTTTTCCGAGACAGGGTTTCTCTGTAGCTTTGGTGCCTGTCCCGGATCTCGCTCTGTAGACCAGGCTGGCCTCAAATTCACAGATATGCCTGGCTCTGCCTCCTGAGTGCTGGGATTAAAGGCGTGTGCCACCACCGCCCGGCCAATGGGGGGCGGGGGGTTCTTAACAGTTGCTTGACTTATGTAAGACTGAATGTTGTTGAAGGAAATGGCAATGAGGTTTCAAAAAATGACTCTCATTTCATTCTAAAGTCAGTGAAATGATTTTTCTTTTCTTAAATTAAAATAGATTTTTCCTCCAACTCCTCACAGATCTCTCTACCTCTCTACCCACTCAAATCTTAATACCCCTTCTTTCTCTCTCTCATTAGATAACAAACTCATTAGATAAAAACAAAAGCAAAACAAAACAGAACAAAAACACAAACAAACAAACAAACAAGACTAGAACAAAACAGAGGAAAAGTGCCAAAGAAAAATCACATGAAAGACATACAGATGCAGAAACTCACAAATTCACATATACAGAAATCACATAAAAAAAAAAAACCAGAAACTGTAGTATATAAACCAAAGACTTGAAAGTTAAAAAAATTGCCCAGTGACACTGGCCATCTACTGCTTGACATCAGTCCTGCCCGAAGTGTGGTTGGCTTCCCCAGTGAGACTGTTGGAGAAAATGAATTTTTCTTAAGTGAGTGGTTGCTAATTTGAGATAGCTTCTGGGTTAGGGATTGGGGCATTTGTCTACTTTTCCTCTCATTGCTGAGAACTCATCTGGCTTAGATCTGTGAAGGTACTGGGCATGCTGCCACAGTCTCTGTGATTCATATAGCATGCCAGTTCTAGAAAGCCTTGTTTCCTTGGTGTCCTCCATCTCCACTGGCTCTTAATATCTTTCTATCCCCTTTTCCACCAAATTGAGATGAATTTTCAGTGGCCTTCCCCTGTGGGATGGCACTGCTGAATGTGTATCAAGAATGATGTGCCGGGCGGTGGTGGCACACACCTTTAATCCCAGCACTCGGGAGGCAGAGCCAGGCGGATCTCTGTGAGTTCGAGGCCAGCCTGGGCTACCAAGTGAGTTCCAGGAAAGGTGCAAAGCTACACAGAGAAACCCTGTCTCGAAAAAAACCAAAAAAAAAAAAAAAAAAAAAAAGACTGATGCACTCCAGGGAGCTTCTTCAATTCTGCAAGCTCCTGGCATCAGACTACAAAGTGGTGATGGTGGTGGTGAGGTCAATGCACAGAGACCCTGAATGAGAATTCTAGGATATAAAACCTGTTAGGCCTGGTATTTATATGTTCTTTGACATGGAACAGATGACTTCTCTCTCTCTCTCTCTCTCTCTCTCTCTCTCTCTCTCTCTCTCTCTCTCTCTCTCTCTCTCTCTCTCGCCTCAATCTGCTCATCCACAGAACAAAGAGATCAAATGAGAGACGTCTAAATTTTTTTTCAGATTCCATGATCTGCTTCATAAATGATTTTTGTTCTTTTTCTTTCAGGGCACAAGTGTAATGGCATGTCTGACATCTGTCCTACATGATGAGAAAGAATTTCCCCACCCAGAGAAGTTTGACCCTGGCCACTTTCTGGATGAGAGAGGCAACTTCAAGAAGAGTGACTACTTCATGGCTTTCTCAGCAGGCAAGCAAACTTTGTTTCCACGTGTGTTAGGGCCCAGGTGAGGTGAGAAGAGCTGTGCATGGAGGCTCCCATGGGTGGTATAAATAACCATCTCCATGAGGCCAGAGGCAGCAACCCCAAGGTGAAGGCTGCTTCTCATCCGATTAGAGGCTTCACCCACTGATTCTGCTTCCTGACCCAGAGCTGATCTTCTCAACAGCTCCTTTTAAAAGAAATTCTATTTTTCTGAGGTGTTTCTCTCCACCCAGAAGAGCCAGGTTCCTGTGGCCCCAAGGAACATCTTACATGTAGCAACTCAGTGCTCAGATCCAGGGATCCAGTGTGTGAAAGAAACACAGAGGATAAATGAGTAGGAAAAGACACTTTCTTGTGAAAATGTGCTATTCTCAAGTCCTCTGGGGGAGCCCAGAGACAGTAGTTTGCAGAGGTGGTATTTTTGGAGGACACCAGGCTGAATGGGCAGATTGCAAGAGAAATTGCTTGCAAGAAGTATCATTTAAGTGCCTTCTTTCAATTTGAAAGGGTCTCAGAAAAGAAAAATTGATCCACTCTAAGGGATGATTAAATGGTTAAAGTGATGATTGAAATGATTAAAAAGGAAGAGACTATTCCCATGGGAACAGAGGAAGGGGCAGAGTATGGGAAATTCCTCAAGACTGATACAGGCAAGAAGTCTCTAATGGACCAGGAACCTCTCTTACTGAGGCAGAATTTCCTCCACTAGAAATTCATGTTCCAGGAGAGAGAGAGGGCTATTACATAGAGAAACACTTTCTCTGACAAAAAAGAATAATTAAAATAGTCATGAATTTGAGAGTGGGTGATGTGGGACACAGCAAAACTTGGAGTTGGGAGAGGGAGGGTTAAAATGATGTAAATATATTACTAATTTATGAAATATAAAAATGTACCTACTACCCCCCCCCCCCCCCACCCAAATGGTTGAAATGAAAAGAAAAGAAATTTGTCCTGAAGAATGGAAGGACAGGAAAGAAATCAAGACAATGAAAAAATACAGACAGTTGGCAAATAATTAGTCTGGGTTAATTAGTCATTCATGAATGTCTATTCTAAATGTGTTAACTCAGAATCAGAATGAAATGACTTATCAGTTGTCACATCTTTTTTAGGAAGAAGATCTTGCCTTGGAGAAGGTCTGGCCCGCATGGAGATGTTTTTAATCCTGACCAACATTTTACAGCATTTTACTTTAAAACCTCTGGTCAATCCAGAGGACATTGATACCACCCCAGTTCTAACTGGCCTGTTGTCTTTGCCTCCATCCTATGAGCTCTGTTTCATTCCAGTCTGAATCTGGGTAGTCTTTCTCATGGATGTCTGAGACCCTGCTTTTACTTGTGAACAAACAGGTGTTTTGTGTCCTTTGTACCTGCATCCTGCAGTTTTTCTTTGTGGCAGAGCTGCTACCTCTGAACTATCCCAAATTTTTCTCAATTCTTTATGAACCAGTTCCAATTTCCACATATGAAAAAACCTCCACTGATTCAGCACCAATAAAGTTTTTTGTTGTAGTGTGTGTCAGATCATTAACTACTAAAATCATTTGCATACATTCCAGATGAAACGTACATTATCAATCTCATGTCTTATTTTAGTAAGAGTTAGTAAACAGAACTTGTTCTGTGATTTTTAAGAAAGCTAATTCATCATTCATTAATGTGTCATTATCTAGGAGAATAATCTTTTGGCATGTATACATTTTGTCTTTTCTCCATGAATTTTTAAAGTATGATTAGATGTACAAATCTTCCTGAGTGATGTGCATGGATATGTACGTAAGCACACTGGTAGATGTCTGTGTATGCACACAGGGAGATAGCAAGGGAAGATCATGCCTACCAAGAGGAGTAACATGAGACAAAACTTGAATTTCCCAGTTTCCAAGGATACCCTTTCCTTATCTTCTTCTAGAGCAACCTCTACACACTCCATGTATGATTCCATATAACCTCATATACACAAACAGAAATATCTGCATATGTGGGTTTAAAGTTAACTATGACTTGGAAGTGCTATTTATATAACAACATATCATAAACATAATTCATATCTTATTGTTTGACTATTCCATAACTTTCCAACTTATTTCATATTTAAATATACCCCTATTTAATGATATTTAGATTAGTTTTAAAATATTACCTTTATGGTATTATTACTGGCAATTAGAGATCAGGAGCTGAGAAGCTGAAAAGCTGACTGTGAAATGGCATTTTGGAGTGTTAAGACAGAAATAATGTTTGTCAGTGGGGTAATTTGAATGTAATTGGCCCCCATAATCTCACAAGGAGTGGCACTGTTAGGAAGTCTGGCTTTGTTGGTGTGGGTATAGCTTTATTGGAGGGAGTATGTTACTGTTGGGATGGGCTTTGAGATTTCTTATGTTCAGGATACCACCTAGTGTCAGTTGACATCCTGTTATCTGAAAGATGTAAGAATCTCAGCTACCATTCTAGCACCATGCCTGCCTGCATGCTGCCATGCTCCCCATCATGATAATAATGGACTGAATGTCTGAAACTGTAACAATGATAAGAGTTGCCTTGGTCATGGTGTTTCTTCACAGCAATAGAAACTCTAAGACAGAAGTTGGTACCAGGGACTGTTATTGCTATAATAGGCCTGACAATGCTTTTGTTTGAAGGACTATGGATCTTGGGACTATGGATTAGAAAAGTAGTTGAGCGCTTTAAGTGATGCTTAATTAATGGGGCATGAAGTAGGAGCATGGAAGACAGTTGTGTTGAGTGTGATTTGATGAACTGTGGGAGGCTTGTTCAGGAGGTCACAGAGGAGAAGAATTTCAGTATGTTGCTTAGAGATCATTTCTGTGATATTTGGAGAAGAAAGTGTGATGGGAAATAGAATATTTATTTAACTATATAAGGATGTGGCTGCTTCTGTTTATGCTGCATTTGTTTAACTATGTAAAAATGTGTTGCTGTGCCTGCCTAAGGTACCTGATTGGTCTAATAAAAAGATGAACAGCCAATAGCTAGGCAGAGGAGGGATAGGTGAGGCTGGCATACAGAGAGAAAAGAGAAGGGGAGAAAGAGAGAGAGATACTAGGGAGTAGCCAGGGGCCAGCCAGCCAGGCAGGGGCCAGCCAGGTAGACACAGAGGAAATGGGAAAGTAGGACATACAGAATGAAAGAATGGTAAAAAAGCACTGATGCAAAATGTAGATGAAGAGAAATAGGTTATATTAAGTTATAAGACCTAGTGGGAGAAGCATAAGACAAGGCCAAGCATTTATAACTAATGTCTCTGTCATGATTTGGGGGCTGGTGGTCCAAGGAAGCCTGCTACATTTGGCACCCAACATGGGGCACATATTTCCACATAGGGCCTGAGAAGACTGGAAAAAAACCCTGACAGGGCTTTCTAGTAGCACAGTGCTTGAAGCATGCAGCTCTGCCATACAGTGAGCACTTGAGCAGCTGGCATGTTAACTAGAAACAACAAACTAAGTAAAAATACCCGCCACAGTGTGGGAACCAACTTCTTAGAGCTGGGGCAGGTAAATGCAGCTCCTGATTAAGTGCAGTTCACAGTTAAACACAGCTCTCAACAGGTCCAAAAGGTGTAAAGCTCAGCTGCCACAGATCTGACTAGGGTTGAGACAGCTGCTAGTGCAAAGCCACATGTCAAGTTTAAGGTTTCACTCACTTGATCAGAGAATGCTACAGGTGCACAGTAAAGCAGGTCCAGAACCCCCCCCCAACCCCTAAAAACCACTCCAAATAGGTTACAGTGTGTTTAAAAATGTGCATAGGTGCTTAAGAAAGAAAAGAAAATGGGTATAGACAGTCAAAGGAAAAATAAATAATTTAAAAATAAAACAGTATTTAAAGAGAGATTAAAGTAATACAAAGGAAAAAAAGCTACATAAAGATGGGAAATAAAATACATAGGGAATCTGAATTCTGTACGGTGTTGTGTTGACTTTGAATTTTTATTTTATTTTATTTTATTTTATTTTATTTTTATTTTGCAATACAGTTCAGTTCTACATATCAGCCACGGATTCCCTTGTTCTCCCCTCTCCTGCCCCCCTCACCTTCCTCCCAGCCCACCCCCTATTCCCACCTCCTCCAGGGCAAAGCCTCCCCCACGGACTGAGATCAACCTGGTAGACTCAGTCCAGGCAGGTCCAGACCCTCCTCCCAGGCCGAGCCAAGCGACCCTGCATAGGCCCCAGGTTTCAAACAGCCAACTCATGCAATGAGTACAGGACCTGGTCCCACTGTCTGGATGCCTCCCAAACAGATCAAGCCAATCAACTGTCTCACCCATTCAGAGGGCCTGGTCCAGTTGGGGACCCCTCAGCCATTGGTTCATAGTTCATGTGTTTCCATTCGTTTGGCTATTTGTCCCTGTGCTTTATCCAACCTTGGTCTCAACAATTCTTGCTCATATAAACCCTTCTCTTTCTCACTAATTGGACTCCCAGAGCTCCACCCGGGGCCTAGCCATGGATCTCTGCATCCAGATCCCTCAGTCGTTGGATGGAGTTTCTAGCACGACAATTAGGGTGTTTGGCTATCCCATCACCAGAGTAGGTCAGTTCGGGCTGTCTCTCGACCATTACCAGGAGTCTGTTGTGGGGGTATCTTTGTGGATTTCTGTGGGCCTCTCTAGCATTTTGCTTCTTCCTATTCTCATGTGGTCTTCATTTACCATGGTCTCCTATTCCTTGTTCTCCCTCTCTGTTGTTGATCCAGCTGGGATCTCCTGCTCCCCCAAGCTCTCTTTCTCTCGACCCTCACCCTTCATTACCCCAACTCATGTCCAGGCTGTTCATGTAGATCTCTTCCATTTCTCCATCATTGGGCGATCACTGTGTCTTTCTTTGAGTCCTGTTTTCTTTTTTTTTTAAATGCTGATGAGTGAATGGCAGCTGTGAGAGACATTGGATTGTGAAAGGGACTGCTGAATTAAACCATCCTAGAAATGTTAGGGATGTCTTAACTTTAAAATGGAATTCAGAAAATGTATTGCATTGGGGCAGAGGTTATGGTTTTGTTTCCATAGGAAACATAAAGCTGAGGATTCCTTCAAGGTTAATAGAGATCAAGTTCAATTAGGGGAGACCTCCTGAAAATCTTGGCTACAGACATAAAAAATAAACCAAGAAAAACTACAAAACAAGTGCTGTATATACTGGTCCCTCCACATGGAAACAATTCTGAGACTCAATAACAAATGTTACAACTAGTTTTCCCAGGACTTGACCATTGTCTCAATTTTCTCAGGGTTTCCTGGAGATGCTGTTGGCCCCAGACAACAGGAATAAGTCTAGAGAACACAACACTCACATTCCCAATATGTGGGGTGAGTGGTTTTTGGTCATTTGGTGGGTAATGGATGTTCATCATTTTTTAGGGGGGATATAGGGAATGTATCCTATATAACTATTAACCTCAAATATTTTATATTGGTATGTCTTTTAGTATATTGATACAAATTTAAAGTTATTTTTGTTATACTGTATGTATATTTCTACTCTTGTTTGTGCTTATGCAGCTCATTTAAAAATATAATGTATAATAAAGAAATGCAGGTTAGCTGTTAGTCATTTATAATAATCAAGTTTGTAGCCATATTAAGTATGTTTTAAAGGTAACATATATATGTATTAATGTAAATATAAACTGTGTATTGTACACAAGCCAATCAAAGATAATTTTTTGTTTTATGTTTGAACAGGTAAAATATACTTTATGTATCTTGTAGTTACTTTAGGTTTATTTTTTCATGTCTGTAGTCAGGATTTTCAGGGGGTCTTCCTTGATCAAACCTGTTTTTTTTTTTAATTCTGAATGAGTCCAAAGATTTATTTTCTGTGGAAATAAAAGCAGAATATCTTTCCCAAAGTAACATATCTTTTGATTTCCATTTTGAAGTCAAGGCATTTTAAAAATATATAGATTGGTTTAATCTAGCAGCTTTCATAATCAAATGCCTCTCAGCAGTTATTATTTGTTCATTATTCATCAAAAAATTTAAAGTCAACAAAATAACATACAGTATTCAAACTCTTTGTGTATTTTCCCTCTTTATGTGACTTATAATTTTTATTACTGTTTCTTTTTTAAAGACTTTCTCTATTATTTTTCTGTTTCCTCTCCCAAACCTACATACATTTTAAACACACTGTAGCCCATTTAGAGGGTTTTTCTGTGTGAATCTGTCTTTACTGTGTATCTTTAACCTTTATCTTTTTATCTTTGTCTGTATAAGCAAAAGCTAAATCTACCACACAGCATGCTGCATGGCTTGGAGAGGCCT